GTTCAAATTCCCAACAGTATTTTTGTACTTAGTAAAACTGACCCTAATTATTTAACATTAGAAAACATGCTGTGAGGAGGCTGTAGCCTGCTCACAAACCTCCGCTCTTGCAAGGTAATTAATGAAAATTACATTCCACTGTTGTTAGATGCCTCGTATTGTGGTCCACGGGGCTGTTCTTTTGTGAGATCTATGTCCTCCTCTGGGGCAAGAGTTATATCTTTAGATCAAGAGAGGTCTTGGGTGAGTGATAACACATCAGACTAAAGAGTGATAGCTGCTTGCAGGGGCAAAGTGGGTTAGAATATACTTTAATGGTTGCTGCAGATTAGGCAATATATTAAATCCCAGTTAAAATTAGATATTCTCTTAAATATATTTAAAAAATTCTTGGGTTATGTAATGTGTAAACTCAATTCTCTAGGAGCTTAGTACAATACTAGCAGTTCCTCAGTTTTGTGTTGCAGACCATGCAGACTGTATGTGTAGTAATCTGAAGCATTGTGAGATTTTCAGGGAAGTGGTATGATGCTGATGAGCATCAGCATTCAAAACCTCGAAGAGAAGAATGAGATTGAAGATCATCTCGAGAATGATCTGTTTACAAAGATTAAACTCCTATTGATTTTTTTTGTATGTGTATGTGTGTGTGTGTGTTAAAGGACCTTATCCTCCACTGATGCTGCTGCTTTGGGGATTAGGTGTCAAAGAGCTGACTAGGGTGGTCGTGGTGGCAGGAACTAGGCAAGAGAAAAGGGAGGGGAAAAGGCTACAAGGAGCAGACTGAAATGCAAAAGAAAGAAGCTGGTCTCTGGGTCTTTGTGAGAGATGTAGCATAGATGGGAAGTCATAGGCGGAGGGGGGGGAAGTATGTCCAGGGCTAGAGAAAGGACAAAAAAAGGAAGGATGAGTACGGAGCGGTGTTTCGGCCCCACCACTGAGCTCAGGACTTGGTCGCACTGCACATAAATAACTGAGCTCCCTTAAATGTGTGTCACCCCTCTCTGTGGGCTTCTCCTCAGTAGCTGGTGACTGGCTGCAACAGCTGTGTATAGGGCAGTGGGACTGCGGGTTCCGAGCTCTGCTGCTGCCCTGCCTCAGGGCATGTCCGCTCCCACCTGAAGAAAACACCTACCTTGCAAACCAGCATGTTCAGGTGTTAAAGAAAACCAGCATGAAGGTTTTGTGATTAATAACGTATTGTTAGGCTATTTATATTTTCCCCAGGGGGTGTCATGTTCTGGCTTCTGCAACAAAGGAGGACACGACTTGCAGGACTTTTGCCTTCCTGCCTACCTGCAGAAGTGGGAAATGCAGACCTCTGAACGATGCTGTAGGGAGGAGTTCTGAGGTGACCAGAAATTAAAGATGTTAAGCTAGGGTGGGAAGAGAGACAGGCTCACAGCTCCAGTTTGAAAGATTTCTCAAGACACAAGATTCTGGTCACACTAGGGGATAAAAAAAGGCAGGGTGGGGGTGGAGGCGTTGAATTAAATGCCAGGTAAAGAAATCTCAGCAGTGTCCACTGTGTTTTGAAGGCATTTATATTATCAGCAGACGCTGCTTAGAAGGATTTGCCTAAGTGTTTGAGGGAATCCTTGGGAAGAGGGTCCAGGGTTTAAGACAGTCAATGCTGCCCTGGAGTATTTGGATTAGAGCCTTGCCTCTGCCTCAGCATTGCTAAGAAATATTATTGATGTCTTTTTTTTATTATTTTTATCACAGTGCTGCTCTGTTTGCAGGGCTTGACTCTATTTGCACTGTTCCGGGGCTTGATTCTTCCCTGGCTGTGTGATAGGCAAAGGAGCAGGGAGGGAAAGAAAAGAACAAATTTGCCTCTCCTCCAGAGTGGCTTGCTGGCCCTGGCAGTATGCCTGATATGCTGGAGCAAGGGAAACGTGACTCTCTCCTGCTCCTGCATGGCCCTTTTCGGCTCAGCTGGAAAATATAACATGCTCAACCCCAGAGCTCTCCCTGAGCAAGCTGTGCAACCTGAGCCTGGCTAACAGAGGGTAAAGAGTGCTAAGGTAACTCAAGACAAAATCAAGTCTTTGGTCAGTTTCTTCTCCTTTTGACTTTACAGATTGTTCATGAAACACCTCAGTGTTTTATGGTGCTAAGCCACCAAATCTGTTGTTTACACATCTCAGATGCCTTGGTGGCAGGGTGCCTGAAAAATAAAATAATTGTTCTATAGCAGTTTATTCTAGTTTATTAACGATTAAAGTATTCATCAATGTAATTGCCAGTTAAACTTGCACTTTGCACCAAATCTCCAGGAGCCCTTCCTGCATTTGCCAAGTGTGAGATAATTAATTTTTCTGAAATATTTTCTGTCAATGACACTGTTATTTTAGGCAATGTGGGTAGCTATATCTGCCTAACACTTTCTATTTCTTATCCCGTTTCCATATTAATGTTAGTATACAAGCAGTGACATGGCACTTAGGTTTGAAAAAACTTGCTGGATCATCCTTTTACTGAAACAGAGCCAGCTGGTATAAAATGGACTATTATAAACTTCAGGGAGCTGCTTCAGCTACTCCAGTAGCTGACTCCATTTAGCATGTAGTAATTTTGTTGAAAATCAATGGATCTGTGGGCAATACTGGGCAATAAGAACTGGGTTCAACATATGCAATACTCCTACTAGTTACAGAGGCAAAGATATTAACTATGAATGTCTTGCTGCTGAGATGAACAACAAGTAGAGGTGAAGCTATAAAAGCATGATCTCTCAAGCTAGCCTTATCAAGACAGAATCAGAAATTATTTTCCATTTGTCACAGTAAGCAGAGAGCAGTTTAGTCTTCATGAAAGACATCATTGGTTAGGAAGGGAAAGAAGAGTTGTCAGCCTTTGTGTGAACTTAAATAATGAACACTTTCTCAGCTCACCTCCAGAAAAAAAAAATTGAAATATCTACCTAGTATCAGTGGATATATTTTTTTCCCTGTGAGGCTTGAAAGCTGCAACAGGATGTATTCACTTTCTCATGAATCTGGTATCAGGCTAAAAAGAGACCCTCCTCGCCTATGCATATAGTCAAACTTCAAAATTCCTTGAGGGTTTTTTGTGGAGTAGAAAGAGATGAAGGTGTGAGAGGCCATGCTTACTTCAATGAATACAAACAAATGATATGTTTAAAAAGACTACATTTGCATAAAGATATGTTTGAAATGAACTTAAAACATCTAAGCCATATTTAGAAGATGATTGAAAAGAAAGGAGAGTGTTTGATACAGCAACATTTCAGGAAAAAGGCAGAAGCAGTCTTTTATTAATACGGGGGATTAGCAATTTAATTAGCTCAATCTTTAATGCAGGAAATTACCTAGTAAAAATGAGACTAGTTAGCATTTGCAGTGCACTTAAAATATTTAAATGAGTGAAGGACAGAATTTCAATGACATTTATATGTCTACTAGACATACTTTTTTCTCTAGATGATGATTTTTTTTTACATGCTTATGCTATTTGCTCCCAAAAGTTAAATGGGAGCATATTTACTGTGGCAGTGTTGAGAGGACTACTGGGGTCATTTCTTCATCTCAGTGAACTTCACTGCCACATGCAACCAATCTCTAACATCCTGTTATTATCATCTTGCACACTGAAGACTGTGCCAAAAGGAAAATAATGTGACTTCCTCAAGGTAGCCCACGAGTACGCAAAAGTGGTGATGTTGAATGTGATTTTTGATCACGCTGAGACTGCTTTGATCTCAGCTACCTAAATATCATCTTCTTGTCATAGTGATTTGATGGCAGGGCAGTAAGGTTAGAAGGCTTGGAGAGGCCACCTCCCGAAATTCACGTGGTGATTAAATAGACTGAAAGAGCTTGAATCATTTGTATGTGGTGATAAGAACAAAATCACTATGGAAGGCAGAGCTTAGTGAAGTATTTCTCCATAGAGATCACATTTGTCTGTGGAACAACATATTTTCAAGGCTAGCAGCTGGCCCTTGGGTTCAATGACATAGTTAAGCTAATATCCTCACTATACTGTGTTAATGTTTCTGTCTACCTTCAAATCAGACAATCCCGTTCTCGTCCTTGATGGTAAATGGGTGAAGAGGTATGTCAGAGGGTGTTTTTGTGCTGAATATAATCTGAAATAAAAATGTACTCTTTTTGTATGATTTAAAACAAAATCTTAACAATTATTCTGTTTTTCAAAGCAGCTATTTGTTTGTAATCATGTCATCCTGGTATCCTGATTTGTTTAAAATGGTTTCTTCTCCCACACAAAAAAGAAGTCTCGAAACAGATTTCAATCAAATGTAAAAAAGTAAAATGAGCTAAAAAAAGAAAAGAAGAAAGAAAGAAATAATAAGAATGTTCCCATCCAAGTAAAATTATGCTTTTCTGGGACAATAACAACTGAAAAATTAAAAGAGAAATTTAGTTTGTATGATAATGTTCCTTTAGGCTTACTTTCTTCTGTCTGCACTCTTTATCTTTTAATGCTCTGTGATTTTAGCTTTTACTGATTTTTTTTTCTTTCTTTTTTTTTAACATCTAAGCAGTAAGAATGAAGGGTTGGATACGGGCCTCATAAACAACAAAAGCACTCTCTGTCAGAAAAACCACGTCGTTGTTTTTTCCTTTCTTTGCTTTTCCAAAAAAAAAAGGTTAAAAATGTGTGTCCCATGACCAGTTATTTCAGCTTTTGCATTATTTGGGTTCAATATTATACATAAAACATTCACCAGTACATTAGTGGAGAGAAATTCTTGCTATTCTGATGTTGTCTTGTCTGTCTCCATTCTGCTCGACTGATGCTGGTAGTGAGTGCCCAATTTGCTTACATACTAAGTCTTCACAATTCTTATGTCCTTAAAAGCTCAGAGGGGAGAGTGAACTCAGCCTCTGAGATTCTAAGATTTGGTCTTGATCCTTCAAATTCTAAATATGGGGCTTTGGATAAAACCTGTAGATTTCTAACAATAGCTTTTTTTTTTTTTCCTTCCCCCTCCCCCTTACCCCCAAATTTAGGCTTACTTTAACCTTGTCCTGTCCCATGGACTTGAAGAATTTTCCTATGGATGTACAGACATGTACAATGCAGCTAGAGAGCTGTGAGTGTCCAGTTGCTTTATTTATCAAAGAACAAGATTCTACCGTATCTGCCATGGTTAGATAGTATCTACATTGTCATATTTCTGTGGTGAGACTCAATATTCCTATTTTGTAAGGGAAAATCATGGAGGAACATTGTTTTAACTGTCCATCACTGTACTGTGCGGATCCCCTCTATCTGTACTTTTCCATCTCCCTTCCTTTTCCCCCTCCTGGGGCACATCACCTCATCCATCAGAGCTGCATCACTTCCAGAGATATCCAGAGTGATGCCGTGCAGGAGAAATGAGTAAATCTCATGGATTAAGAGCAATTAGTACACAGCCAAGAATTTACTATGTCTGATTGTGACATGCTATGGTCTTTTGAAAAATGGAAGTAACATATCTCATGAAGCAGACGTCCCATTAGTATACTTATGCTGGTAAGATAAACATGGCCAAAGCATGGACTTGGGTACCAGCACACACCCATCCATGCTGTGTAGCTGCAAGCACCAACCATGAAACTTTTTTGACCTGTGCCAGGTAACAATTAGACAAAACCAGAGTGGCTCAGATAATGGTAAGCACCAGAGATCCTCCTCAATAGTTAGTAGTTACTAGCCACCTTGGGTTTCTTATGTGAAGGGGAGAATGGGCTTAGCGAATGGGTATGACCTGTGTGCTACCACCTGCTCAGACACAATAACATTTCCTTTCAATATTTTCCAGTCACCTACCGTCTAACAAACTCTGATTTCCTTGTTGTAGTTGGCTACACTATGAATGATCTGATATTTGAGTGGCTAAGTGATGGACCTGTGCAAGTTGCAGAGGGTTTAACCTTGCCACAGTTTATTTTGAAAGAAGATAAAGAACTTGGTTATTGCACAAAACATTACAACACTGGTGAGCATTATTCTATTTTTTCATATTAATTGCTCTGATGATATCTATTGTCAATTTATAAAGGGAAAAGATACATTCAATGAAAAAAATAAAATTTGATTCAGGCACACTTTTCTAAATTGGAAAAATTGAAATTTTCACCCTTTTGTTTTTGTCTGTTTGAAAGATTTTGTTACCAAATTTCCTGTAATTTCATTAAAGATATTCTAGTATACATATTACAATATCCTTAAAATGATTAAGGAGTTTGAAATCTTGAAAATCTCATTAAAATTCTAGTTGGTTTAATTTCATTAAAATGAAAATTTTTAAATAAACTGAATCTTTTCTTAAATATTGATTCATCATGTTATAGTACTGATTTTTCTAATCTTGATTTATTTCTCCAATATATCAAATTGACAATGAAGACAAATTTTCATCAGCATGTATGTATGGTCTAATGTATGATATATAGTGTTTGAAAAGACAATGCTTTCATTGATGATCTGAATAGTGTACGGACATGAAATGTTGGGAAATGAAATGTTTGTTTAATATTGTAATGGTTTTTTTTGTATTTGATATTTTGAAGTTTCGAATGCTGGTTTTACTATCTCTAGCTTTGAAAGGCAGAGAGAACTCTGTTAAAATCTTTCTTGGAGTTTATTTATTAGGGACAGCATTTAAAGAACAGTTTGCTGGGTGCTTGCTGGGATTAGATATAATCCCTCTCATCTAAAATAGCTTTTTCATCATTTCAGCATAAGAGCTAATCGGGTTGCACAAATACATTTGTTTCACTCTGTGAAACACAACATGACAAATTCTTCTTCTGCCAAAAATAAAGTCACATTAATTTCTTATGAAAAGAAAATTATTGGTTTTAATTTTTATAAAAGCAGCTTTTCATTTGGGGGCCTAAAGTACCAAGGAAGGAAAGTTTTGTGATTGTACAGTCCAAGACCTGTGGAAAGAGGGACTGCTGTGACTTCTCCTATTTTCTCACACTTATTTCTAACAGACAGAGCTCACCTGTTTGTGATTTGTCAGTTACAAAGTTTAGCATTTCCCAAGATGTGACTCAGACTCTAGATAACTGAGTTCATCTGCTTTTCTAATTACGTTCAGATAACATTTTGCAATCAGATAACTGTCAGATAACACTTTACTGTCAGTTAACAACTTTTCAGGGTCAAAGGCTGAAAGTAGGAGAGAAGGGAGAGCACAGGTGGCAGGTTCCTTGCATATCCAGGAAGATTGCCCATGAATGATAAATATACCAATTAGTAATTCCCATTACATGCAGTTAACAAAACTTTAAAGTGTGTAGTCTGACAAGGGGAATGGAAGAGCACTATTCATGCAAAAGAAAACGTTGCCTGCAGGCACCCATGTTGCTGTCTTCTCTATAGTATTCTCCTTCAGGCTTGGTGTGAAATTAGAATCTGGATAAAAGCTGTATTATCCAGCCTTCTCCCACCCACACTATCCAGGCTGTTCAGCATGAATCTGGACAGTATTCAACAGACCAGGCTACTTTCATGCCATCCTTGCCACATTTGGCCACCCCACCCCTTTTGAGTCTCCTTCTGTAAGGGCAGGCTGATCAGGATCACTGACTTGCACCTCTCAGGGTCAGCCTTGAAAGTCACAGGTCCAGTCACTCATTTTAGAGCATCTGTCCCACCAAAAATATTATCCACTTCTTCTCCCATCCTCTCTTTTCCAAAGAGCCTCTGCTGTGACAGCTCTCACACCCTGCTGTTCAGCTTCCTAGACTAGCTGACAAATATGTGTACATCACAAAAAGGAGAAAAAAATCTAATTTCCCCTAAAAGGATGAATGAGGACCAATGTATCATCATGTTTTTGACCAACTGACACAGGGGTCCTTTGAAGCCTTTACCATGACACTTCAGGAACGACAGACTTTCATGTACTTGGGTTGGTCTGCCTTGAGTGAGAGCTTTCACAGTGTCTAAACCACAGCAATTTGGAGAGAAGCACAGAGGGGCTGGATTAATATCTGTTGAGCTGTTGCAACTCAGGGCTCTCTGCATACCCCTGCTACAGCAGGACTATGTCCTTTGTCAGGCAATCCTAAACTTCTGTCCTTCACTGCCCTGGTGGAGCAACTGCCCATTGTTTGAAGAATCACTCACCTCCCACAAGAGATTATTGTGGGTTTCCTGGAGTTAGACTTTTAGAAAAATTCAAAGTAGACTTTGAGTTGATCCTGCTGTGAGATGTAATCTACAGACATAGGCAAATGATGTGCCCAGAATGAGTAAGGGTGTGATCTACAATGGGACTGTAAAACTGGTAATTCATAATTCGTTTGTTTAAGTGTATTTGCTTAATCTCGTGTCTTTAAAAGAGCAGGATGCTGTCCCATTTTAATACTAACCACTGTATTTGTCTAAAGTAAAATCTCATTCGATTTTGAGAGAAGAAACCTTATGTTATATTTTGTGGAGGTGAAACAACCATACTACTACTTGCTTTCTCAGTTAATGTGAAGGACTGGGCAGAGTCTGCTTCAGGGCCCCCAAGCTCATGTGCAACAAATGTCTGACTTGCATTTATGTTATCAGGACTTGCTTACAGGGTTAGGTTAGGAAAAAGGGCCGTGCATCTAACTTACATTCAGAAAAGCAGCTAAAAATGTGCAAAAAGCATTTATGAAAGTAATTTCATGTTCTAGGAAAGTTTACATGCATCGAAGTCAAGTTTCATTTGGAGCGTCAGATGGGATACTATTTAATCCAGATGTACATCCCTAGCCTGCTGATTGTCATTTTGTCCTGGGTTTCTTTCTGGATCAACATGGATGCTGCTCCAGCTAGAGTCGCACTGGGCATCACTACAGTTTTGACAATGACCACGCAAAGCTCAGGATCAAGAGCTTCCCTACCAAAAGTAAGGAAATAATTTTGTACCACTGATTTTTTATTAACAGGAAATACTTCCACTGGTTTTTAAAGTTTCTGAAAGATCTGCATAAATATGCTTCTGATAAGGATACGTTAGAAAACGGTAACAGCTTGATGTTAAACTGTTGCAATACCCTTGCATTTGAATAAAGGCAGGTTTCTGCTGGTTTGCATGTTGGCTGGAGGGTTCGATAGTATGGATTTTCTGAAGCATTTAGGTATCTGGCTGCATTTCTGAAACCACTTTCATAAAAATTGGACATTCTATCTGACCATAGACTTCATAAACATAGTCTCGTCTTTTCTGGACTGTTAGACTTTCAAATTCCTTGATGTTTCTAGATACAATGCTTAGTTCAGTGGATATATAAATATACATAAATATATATAGAGTATATATAACATTTATACTCCTAGAAGTTTTCTCTGAATAACTTTTTCACTGAGGAACTGTTGATGTCTGCTGCAGAATTTGTCTATGTTCTCATGAAGTGTCATTTGCACATCTTCAACCTGTCTTCGCACAAAAATATCCTCTCACTTAAATATTGTGATCTGTTCGATCCAGGCCAGATGCTGCAGGTGGCCTTACAGATTACAGACTTGATTCTTTGTTTAGTCAGGCTGACAGCTCTTTTCAGCATAGGCACAGCCTGAATGTTTTTGCTAATAACATTCCCAGCAGAATTTCATGTGCATGCTCAGGTTTTGTACAGTTTTCTAGGAGACAGGTCAGAGGTACGTCAGTTTACAGTGGTCTGTGGAGTAACAAAATATACTCTCTGAAGAATTCTTTTTACAGCAGTTCAGCATCACAGGAGTTGGGATCATAGCAGCAATGAAAAGCAATGAGTGCATAGATCATGATCCATTCCAAAAAGCATGTTCTATTTTGTTCTACTTTACCCTCAGATCACATTTAGTGTCATCCCAAATTCTGTAATTTGTTCAAATGGAGTGTATATAGGGCAACTTCAAAACCTGCACAGATTGTGTTACTCTTCTGTTGGTAATGAGAAAGTATCACTTAAAAATCTGGTGACTACAACAGTTGGTACAGCTTTACTTGTTCATTTCAAGATATATATCATTTTCCATGCGAACTGAAAGCCTTTCATATATTAATTCAGAATTTCAAATGGCTAATTTCCTAAACATTTGTTTGAACAATTTGGTCAATATTACCAAGCGAAAACTCTGAGAAGAAAGCCAACAAAGAGATAATCTTGGAAAGGAGCATACACATTCTGTAGACAGTGTGTCACTGGAGACTGTGAATGGTAAAACACAACCCTATGTGACATATTCCAAGTTTCTTCTGAATAAACTGGCTTGAGAATTAGAGATGGTACAATCACTGTAGTGAGGACTTCCACTCACATTTCCAACTGGGCAAATATACCCTGCCAAGAAGCTCTGTAGTGTTAACACGTCCAGAATTCTAATGCTTTAGAAAGACTTTTTGTTATACACATTTGATCCAGCTGAAAAGTTTCTCTCTTTAGTATTCTAGCTTGTTTGAGTAGAAAAGTATTTGTTGTATAATTTTCTGGGCTTCTGCTGAGTGGAAGAAGTGGGAAAATCCAGAATATGTTGACTGGTTATTCGGTTATCAGAGAGGTTCTTCTTCAGCCTCTGGATTAAATACACTTATCTCAAAAGCTGTCAGAGAATGATGATGTTCTGGCACGATTCCATCTTCTTTTCTGCTGTGTTCCATTGCTAGAAGACAGGGACTAAGGAAAATGGCTTGGATGGGCATACCTCATATCTTTTGCTGAGTCAAAAATTGATTGGATGGGCAGGCCCAAAGAATGGTGGCGAATGGAGTTAAATCGAGTTGGTAGCCAGTCACAGGTGATGTTCCCCAGGGCTCAGTCTTTTCATATCTTTACCAATGATCTGGATGAGGGAATTGAGTGCACACTCAGAAAGTTTGCAGATGACACCAAACTGAGTGGGAGTGTTGATCTACTTGAGGGTAAAAAGGCATCACAGAGGGATCTGGACAGGCTGGATCAATGGACCCAGGCAAACTGGATGAGATTCAACAAGGTCAGGTGCTGAGTCCTGTGCTTGGTTCCCAACAACGTCAAGCAATGCTGCAGGCTTGGAGAGGAGTAGCTGGGAAGCTGCGTGGCAGAAAAGGACCTGGGAGAGCTGGTGGACATCCAGATGAACATGAGCCAGCAGTGTGCTCAGGTGGCCAAGAAGGCCAACGCTATCCTGGCTTGTATCAATAATAGTGTTGCCAGCAGGAGTAGGGAAGGGATCGTTCCCCTGTACTTGGCACTGGTGAGGCTACACCTTGAATCCTGTGTTCGGTTTTGGGCCCCTTCCTACCAGAAAGACGTTGAAGTGCTGGAGTGGGTCCAGAGAAGGGCAACGAAGATGGTGAAGAGCCTTGAGAACAAGACTTATGAGGAGCAGCTGAGGGAACTGGAGTTGTTGAGCCTGGAGAAAAGGATGCTCAGGGGAGGCCTTATCACTTTCTACAACTACCTGAAAGGAGGTAGAGTGAGGGTCAGTCTCTTCTCCCATATAAGAAGTGACAGGGCAAGAGGAAATGACTTCAAGTGGCTCCAGGGGTGGTTTACATTGCACCTTAGGAAAAATTTACAAAAAATTTCAAAATTTTTCATGGAAAAGATTGTTAACCATGGGAACAGGCTGCCCAGGGAAGTGGTTGAGTCACCATCCCTTGAGATATTTAAAAGACATGTATATATGGCACTTAAGGACATGTTTTAGTGGTGGTGGACCTAACACTGCTGGGTTAGTGTTTGGACTCGATGATCATAAAAGTTTTTTCCAAACTAAAGGGCTATATGTTTCTATGAAAAGTACCTCACCAGGAAGCCCAGCATACTTATGTCAGTCAGACTACACCAAGTTGTTGCAATTTCACTGTGTAATTCGGCTGAGCTGTACTTTACATCTTTGGTCTCTACATAAGTGAGTGAATCCTCATGGGGGCTTTTGAAAGTGCACCAGTTAACTTTAAAAATGTGGTTCTAAATAAACATGAGCACACCTGTCTGCTGACTCGTGCCTCAGATGACTCAGGTGCCTGAAGAAACACAGGACTGACAAAAAGAAAAGTGCTTCAAAACAGGCTTTGTGTGCACACGCAGCTGTATGGCCGTACACCACCATAGGGGTCTCATACCACCAGTATCTGATTCCTTACACAAAGAAACAAGATTTTCTTGCTGATGAAGACACCTAGCTATTTTTAAATCTCATCTATATCTTGATATCAAAATTGTATTTCGTAATAAAATCTGTCCACCTGAAAAGCACATAAAAATACCAAAAGAATTGAATCAAATCAGTGTTAAATCTGAAGTCCCAATATGGCTCTTTAAAAGTTTTTTGGGTATTTTTAATTCCTGTCTATGTATTGCCAAGACACAGGAAGTTAGGCTGTCAATAAAACATCCATTTAAAAACTGCTTCAAGCATTAATCTCTAACAGAATAAGACATGACAGGAGGGTTATTTTTGCAAGAGTACTGAGTAAATACGTAAAACTCTGCTTCAGGAAAGTAGCCTGTATGTGAATACAAGAGGTCTATTTTTTCCCCCATCCTTCTTTGTGTCCTGTTGTTATTAAAATATATTTATACAGCTTGATTTTACCTTTGCTTTACCGACTGTCTCATGCCAATACTTTTTTTCTCATTGTTGTCTACTTTAGCAGAGCTTTACCACAAAAAACAATGAAGCATCAAAACTTACCAAATTTAAGGACAATAATTCCTTTACCTAAAAAAGGCAAAGAAGAATGGCAATGGAACTCCTGCTTAGGTTTTTTTCCCCCTCTATTTCCAAGTTACTATCTAAATGATGAAGGTGTTATTGTTTAGAAGTAATTACCTGCATATTGCTCTCAGCTCTGGTATAAGATTGCATGACAAGAGTTCTATTTGCTTAAAACTGCTCTTTTCCATATTAATAGCTAGTATTCATTTTGATACACAAACTTCACAACGGTAGGTCATGGCAACACAGACGTTAAGCATTCAGTTGTTGAAAAGTAAATATAAGATTGAGACTTCTAAAAAGAAAAAATTAAAAGAGGAAAAAGAAAAAAGAAAGGAAAAGAAAAGAAAGAAATGAAATTAATTCCACATGAGACTCATATTTACCACACATAAGAGAAACATCTTGAAAGCCTCTTCCAAACAAAATACATTCTTTAGTAAATTTTGTAGCATTTCTTTGTGACAATCATATTCGGAGTATTTTGAATTTCTGGCTAAGAATGGAGAGTCAAATTCCAATATCAGCAACATAGTAATAAAAATTCAGTATGAATTTTTTCCTTATTATTCTACTATGTTGATTTCTCTGTTAAAAAAGGCAAGAAAAAAACATGGCAAGATTTACACTGCAACAAAGCTATAGTTCTGAGAATGGAGACCTGCCTTCTGAAAGCAGTTCCTCCACAGTTTTTGCATAAGCTGAGCAATACTACATTCTACTTCTTTCATGGACATGAAACAACAATTTTTCTGTATCGGGAATATCTACAGAGGAATATTGACCACATTGTCAAACTCTCTTTTAATGAAAACCTTATTTGTGTTTGTTGCAGAAAACTAGTGAAGCATCCTGTAACCAGAGTTACCCCTACTGGCTGTGTTAGGGGGTTGTGTGGAACTCATCCAGAAAGCTGGGGTTGAATACCCTCCTCATAGTTCAGTTAATCCATTTCTGGGATGTCCAGGAATAGTGATCCAAAATAGCAAGGTTCCGATGATCAATTCCCCTTCCCACACATTCATGTTTGCAAGTCACTCACATCTGATAATCTATGTTCAGATTCCTCTGGGCCTATCATCATTTTCCGCTTAGGAACTTTGGCTAGACAAATGTTTGGGCACCCAGCCACGCTGGTAGCTCTTGCTGACTGGCCAGCTGAGTAGAAATCCTGGTTGCCAGATGGTTGAGCAGTGTGACCACACAGTCATAATGAAACCT